CAACATATCTCAACTCCAAAAACCGTGCAGGAAAGAAAGTAGGACCCTTCACGGCCTTCCCCTTTATTGATTTAATATCTTTTTGTTGAGTATATATATATATATATCCTATTACCAGGTTTCAGTGGATGATGACGGGGCCTGGTTGCAGGCCTTGTTGAAAAATAGTGATTTTCTTGTTTACCGACTGTTACAGGTAATAGGACATCCCCAAGCTTTATTGTTGATTGTAGCTGACCCCAAAATGTGGTACTTCGACAGTACTCCGCTCATGGTGATTTCAGAGATAGTGATTTTTGCAGAGATGGTGCAGTCTCCATCACTTGCTTCCTGTAGCTCAAGTTGTCCCGGGTACATGTGTACATTTCCTGTGAACTCGATGCAATCGGCAAATCATGTAGCTCGATTTTTCAGGGTAGGAAGAGCTTCCTCATGATTAGAATCCCCAGACCCCGTGCTTTTAAGATTTTGAAATAGTGTGCTTGGATCATCCTTTGCTTTGCGCTATCGCAATCGTGTTCTAGTGAGTAATAGAGCGCAGCCACTATACATGGAAAACATCCTTGAACATTGACAATCAATCACAATCATAATCAATCAATATCAATCATATATACTGGCTGCGTCTTTCCATCGGCACCTGTGTCAGTAATGTTGTGCGCTGCTGCAAGATTGGTTTGCAATTGGCATCTAGAGAACCCCAACACATTGACATCATGGACTACACTACCGATGGGTTTGCACTGGATGTCTGCTCTAGCTTGACATTTGCACTTCCCAGAATGCCTCTGTATCTTCTGTTCTCGGCAGTCGCAAAGAGGCCGCCTCCGACTTCCGGTCCCAGATCCCACTGGTCACATCTCACCCTCTCCGTTCTCAGCTTAAACCCAATTCTCTTTCGTCGCTTTTCACATCTTTTCACCTTGACGCCACCCTTTTTTTGTGTAGCAAAGGGACACTTGTAGTAGCGTCCTTGCTCCTAGTAGCGATAGTGGCTGCAGGGAAACTTGCCGCTGAAGTTGTGGCCTCCACGGCGGCCTCAACGGTGCCCTTCGAAAAGCCTTGAGCTGAGCTCCGCTGAGACGAAGGCATCGGAAGAAAAAACGCCAATCAAATGGAAGACAAATGAACACAGTGCCGCTGAAGGCGTCTTTGAACAGGTTTTGAACATGTTTGAACCCGACGAAGCGGTCTGAGAGTTTTCTTTAGTGTTCTACCCACCCGCTCGGCAAATCCACCCATTGTTTCACTTCCCTCCTTTTTGGGCTTCGACCCATCAGACTTCCCGGGGAGCTCATTGCATCCTGGCGAAACAATGAAGTAGAGTTCACCCCGTGCGTGGTATTCGGATTTCAAGGTCTTTCCATGGGCCAGGCCTTCCACATAACAATTGTTGTACAGTAGGGAGGGTAAATGCTTTGACAGTTTGTTCTGCAATCAAGCTGCAAACAACTTGGACTGACCGCTTGCACACAAATATTGGTCTGGAACCACATCTCAAAGTGAGCCACTGGTTCTCATGTCCTGATTCGACTCGATGTATCGGAATGTTTTCATCATGTGGCCTTCCCAACCTCTTCTTCCCATTTCCTCCCCTGTGTTTCCTATATAACATGTCTCATCTTCCCCGGTTTTTCCCAACATGTCTTCCCCTGTTTCCCGGGTCAACCGAGCACAAGCCGACTTTCCTCCGACTCTCTTTGGTCACCTCCTGAGAAAGGGAGGACGTCGTCGCGCTGCTCAGCGACCACGCGCCTGCGCCCAGGTCACGTCCACGTCCACGTCCGCCGGTCACACCCTTAAAAACCACTGAAGAGGTGACACATAGGTGAGAACATGTGAGAACCGAACTTTTCAGAGTTTCAGTCAGTGGGGACACCCCCTAATTCCCCCTAAAAAAGATGAAAGGTGATTTACTGACGAAAGACATACACATGAGGAGGGGCCTCCAGTACAGCTCAAAGATGGGGTGTCCCTGAAAATTGCCTGATGTCTGTGCTCCTCTGCAGCATTCTCTGCGGATCTCTGCCGGGTCCAAACCGGGAGACCGACCGAGATAAGCCCCAAAACGAACAGAATGGACTTGAATGGACTACCAGGAAGGTCCACAATGGTCAACAAATCTCCAGCTTTTCGCACCGTTCGGTTTGCCACACGTGCCACGTGTGGCACCTGACGTGCCACCGTGTGGCACGGTGGCTCGCACGGCGTGGCTCGCACGGCGCAAGGCCTGCTGAACTTGGACGAGACCGTGGACAGTCCTGACACTCGCTGCGTGTTCGATTCACTTTATCCTCGGATTCTCATAGGATCCTTATCGGATTCTCACTGCGATCATTGAACCTCCCCTGTAGCATGCTGTAGCCAGCCATGTGTGGCACCGTGGCGCCTCTCATGCGGTCGCCTGCTACCGACCTCCCATCCAGGTCTCTCCTCCTCTGCAAGGCATGGAGTGATCCAACTGATCTGAGTCTGGTTGATGGTCGACTGGTCGACCTGATCCTGCACTTGGATCTAACAACCCAGCATCCAAGAAAAACACCAGCACATTGAATGGAAGGTGATTCAATCAACTCAAGGATGAAAACTTCAAAAACCACTGCACTAAGGATTTCAACCATACAGGAATTTCCAGGCGGAACTTCGTCGGCTTTTGCAGACCTGGCATACCTTCGTCCGGACAGACCGTGCAACCTCGCTGCGAAGAAGAAAGCTCCTCTTCGGCTTCCACACCGTGCAACCTCGGCTTCTTCTTGGGTCGAAAGCGTCGGTTGAAGTGACGCCTTGTGTTGTTCGGATCGGTTCAAGCGGTATCATCGATCACCATACCATCGAATACACCAAAACATGTATCAACACTATAGGTCGGAGGCCATCGATAGTAGGTGGGTTTGCTACCATGATAGGTTGCAGGGATGTATCCACTGACCTACCATGTTGGTGTCCTTGTGATGGCCACGACGGCACAAGATCTGGAGCCCACTTAGTCTTTGACACATCTTGGGGATTCTTTGGAGGTGGTTCAGGATTCCTTGGTGGTCCGGGCTCTTGGTGGGTGAAGAGAACACCAAACCAAAACAGAACCTCTTCAAGTTCGACGCCACCCTATAAATCAAACAATTTGCATGCATCAAAAATCAGTGAGCATCAGGTGGTGCATTGGGGGCAGAAGCCAATCAAGCCCCATGCATCAAAAAAAAACCTGACTAAGTCAAAATATCCAAAGCTGCAGGTCCTCTGCCCCTAGAGGAGGTCTTGCTTTCTCGAGATGCACTCCCAACCATGGAAGTGGAACCCAGGTATTCTCAGCTTATCAAGAAGAATCCATACCAAAACATCCAGTTCCATGATGTTGAAGTGAAATTCAGTTCCAAGACATTTCTTAGATCACCAAATGATACTTCCCTTTCAGTCTCCCACCTCTTGGCTCAAGGTCCTTTGCGTTTCCCAAAACTGCTCACACCCCAAACAAGAACTCTGCGCCAAACACATCTTTTAAGCGGCATAAACTGGGGTGATAGCTCTTCGATGTCTTTCACATCACCTTTGCCCATGTCTTTCTCGGTCGCTTCCGAGCCGCAAATTGGGCACTGCAGCGACGGACATGGTCCGGCCGCTCTGCTGCTCGCGTAAGGAAGACGAGGAGGACGAGGGTGCCTGGAGTCAGGTGAAGGGGAACAGGAGACTTCGTTTTTGGTGAGGTCTCCAAATCGACCGACATCCACTGGAAGACTTAGGGAGATCGCAAGTCAATCTATTTGAGGACTGGAATAAGACTCTGAAACGTTATATGAACTCTTCACACCAGCAACCCCCGGATGAAATCCACAGGCCAAACATGGCCAGACTCATACCATACCCAGATTCGAGGTTTCATCAACATTCATCAACATACCTCATCGTACCTTTGCGGGACAGGGGATTCTGATTGGGGCTCGCAGAATCACATTCAAACATGGGACATTTTCGCGGATGTCCCTGGGACATTCCTTCGTCACCTGTGCGTCTCCTTTGTTTTTGGGTTCGATTCATATCATGTTTAGATCTGTTTTTGTGCCATGCCAAATTCAGCATTGTACCTATGTCATCAGGCTGTACCGTCCTATCGACCTCTCCGTCAGGGCTGGAGGTTCTCCCCTCCTCCTCAGTCCGCCGAGCGCGCGGGCCGGCGCGGGGCCGCAATCAGTGATGGGATGCAGTGCGTTTCACAAAAAGCACACGGCCTACTTGACATGAGGTGTTTGGATGTTTTTGACATGCCTATATCGTTTTTGCCTATTTAAAACATCATGCCAATGTCTGCAGTCTGTTCGTCTTGTGATTCCAACGAAAACCACATCAAATTCTTCCACTGTCCAAGCTGTGGCGGAAATGCCCTGTAAAAATATATATATAGATAACCTTATTATCATATCCTTATAACATGTTTGCCCATTCGAAAAAGAGTGCTCCTCCTTCCTTCGATTCGAGCCCTTCGACATCTCGGGCCCCGCTCCTCGCCTGGGGAAGCCGCAACCTCGCTGAACGGCGGAAGACGCAGCGATGGACGCAGCCGTGGCGTTACCGTGGCGTTACACGCAGCGCTACCGTCATTGACGCAGCCGAACGAACATGGCACTTTTCCGGGAGCTCTGCCAGTTTGGAGTCTTTTCTGGGTTGAAGCGCCATCACGACGGACAGTGGCTGACTTGAGTCTTGTCGAAGGATACGATGTTAAACAATGTGTAACATGTGCTTAAGATTCAACCCTGCTTCAACAATCCTCTTCAATACTTGATTCATTTTAGAGATCCGTCATCCGTCAGTGTGGCCGTGCAACCACTGCAGTTCGTATTGATGTGTGTCTCTGAAGAAAGAGTCTTCATGTCTTCATCGTGATTTGGGTTTGCAAAAGGAAGCATGTTTTTTTACAGATTTATGACTCATGATGACTCGTGTGCTTTTCATGATATATTTGCAATGATCCCTGAAGTCAACCTCGCCAACTTGGGCTCAAATGTCCCACAACTTCATTTCATCCCATGCTTCCAAGACGCAACCCCACCCAAGCCTTTTGCTTGGCTCAACGCATGCAGAGTTCCACGAAAATTAGTGGGCTGAAAACCGCTGCTTGGCCGTTCGGCCAGCTGGAAAAGCCCCGCTCACAGGCGTACCCTCGACAGGCCTGAGCCTCAGAGATGGACGCAACAACATTTAAAATGTCCTCTTGCTGGACCAAAACATGACCAAAACATGGAACTGCCACGAAGGTTGCAGTACATGGAGAATCGTGTTCTGGCTCTGACTTGGCAACTTGAGCATGTGATTCCTGGGGTGAGCGAACCGTCCGTGACATTGAGGGAGACCCCTAGACTCGTTGGGTCAAAGGCCAAAGCCTTCTCATAGCTCATACAGGCGAGCTGTGCTGCAGGTGTTACCCTCCCTGCAACCAACATGGACCCATATGGACAATCCTACAAAGACCATGCACCTGTTGCTTCCTGCTTCCGCGTCTGCCGGTCCCACCCTCTTTTACGGCCGAAAAACAGCAAGCGAACACGTCCATGGCTCTCGGGCTCTGCGGCTTGGTCTCCTCAATCTCATCGGGACCTCAGACACCGTTGTGGTTGATCACCGTCGTGGTTGATCAATTGATGTACGGAGAAAACAACAGCAAGGTGTTTCGATTGAGAAAACATCGTCTTGATAATTCTTGATACTTGATCTGTTTTGTTCGGTCCGGGGAAGAGCTCTCTAATGAAAACCAAGCGGCCCAGAAACTCATCGAGCAGTCTCTTCTCTGGAGAATGCAAAATGCTCCACATTGCCACGTTCAGAAAGTATCTGGATGACATCAGCTGAACTTATGCTTCCAAAAGACATGTCTCAAGAAACACATCTCATGAAACAAAAGAGCATTGCCCGCCTCTTTCGCGACCTCAAGTGCCTGAAAAGCCAAGACAGCAGTGAGCTCCGGTGAGCACAATGACATCTTTCAGGCCAAACTCTGCCAGCCTGGCATCTGGGTGTTCTCCAGGCATCTCATAGATTGCAATGTTGATCACCTTCCTATGGCGGGGGGCTGGGTGGCTCCAGTCTGGTCTGTTGAAGGAATGGGAACCTTCTTATTGCATGTCCTTGCTTCCAGGAAAGGTTCATGTCTACGGACTCTACTCGTACTCATGATGATTCTGCGCGCCTTTTTGAGAAGCGACTTCAGTGTCAAAGGCACGACAGAATCAACAGCATTCACATACAAGCTCCATTGTAATTGGTACAATCATATCATACTGTTGTATTTACATGTATTTGCAACATCGGTTTCACCCCAAAACTGACTATCCGCTATCCACATTGGTGTCCCCAAAGGAATATGCAATTACCATCAATTGTCGCAGGACATTCCATGCATTAGTGAAAAGTGTGAGACCATCGTCTGGCAAGTTTTGGCGACGCATGGGTGGCCTGGGTTAGATTAGGTCATTGAGTTGGTCAAAATGAAAACACTGCCTTTATATATATATATACAGTAGCTGTTTCAAAAAGCTGAGCCGAGAAGGCAGGTCGAGTTCTGCTGCGTCAAATACAGCATCCTACTGAGAGTGGCAGCCAGGGCCTGCCACCCTGCGTTCAGGCCTTCAATGCACAATCTCTTTGAGATTTGTGCCAGCTTCGAATATACACGCTAAAGACATGTTGAATTATGTTGACAATATATGTATACTTAGGTTGAATAACGGCGCTAAAGATTATCAATGATTATTACATTTTGCGCCCGTTGGACGCCGTTGACGCGGATGTGTCGATTGCCTGCTGCTCCGTGATGTGTCCACGACGCCTCGCTTTTCAGACCACCCTTCTTCGGCGCCTCTTGGCACAGTGGTGAAAAAACCGCTCGGTCGTTGTTTTCGAAGAGACCGACCGCCACCCTGTCTTTGCATTTCTTTACGGCAATTCTGAACATGACTTGGGTCAACATTGACTGATCCATAACTACAACTGATGATCCCGATTCCCATATCACCAGAATTAAGGGTCAGCCCCCAAAGGGTCGCTCATTTCAGCTCAGCAGCAACCCAAAGCGCGAAAAGTTGGCCGTCATACCTCAGTGGGCGGTCCCATACGTCGCTGAGACAGCTGAGACTTCGGGCTGTGATCGCTGACGGGTTGAGACAGCAAGCAATGTGGTACGAACGACCGTCTGGGCTTGTCCTACATTCTACCGGTACTACAGAATTTTGTAGAATGTCCCTACCAGGTTACTGTTTCGTTACGCTCTTTTGATCTCTTTCACTTCGCCGGCTTTGCTGGGTGTCTCATGGAGTCTCATTGAATGTTTGTGCAGTGGCAAACAAAGAGCAAACCATTGCGGCTGGTTAAACATCTTACCTCCCTTGATCTGTGCTCGCCGCAAGTAGTAAAGCCGCTACCACACCCTCTTCGTCTTCAGGAAAGCCCTTTTGGTTGCATCCTTTTTTCTTTAGTATTCCGCAGCTTGAACATGAGATCGAAACCATTCGTCACACACATGACATAATTTTAGACATTTTTGTTTGGATGACTTCGAGTCTGCTTCAATTCGATCATTTGCTTCTATATCAACGAATGTTCTTCTTAAAAGCGGGATCACAAAGGTGGTAAAACATGGTTGAACTATGTTGAACTCCCAAACCAATCCCTGGCGCAACAGCAACAATCGCATGGACAACGACAACCGACAACAGGACAGTGCTGCGAACATTCCGAAACTGCAACTCAGTGACCAGGAAAGATTCCGCCCACTTCCCAGCGGATGCAATCCAGGAATTGGGAAATGCCCCAGATGCAGAAGGTATAAACCTGGTGGCACAAGTTTCCAAGAGAGCTTTCGTCAAAAGGCATGGATGATTTATTGTATGTCACTCTTCTCATTACTCCGGCTGCTCCTCTATGTGAAAATGAACCCCGTCAGAGTCAAGCTAACTAGCTTGTACATGAATTGCTTCATCGGGCCTTGTCCTTGGAGAACTCATTGATACACTTCTGCAACTCCTTTGCATAGGCCTGTTCCATCCAAAGGACATCAAAAAAAAACAGCAGCCAAGTCATCCAGCAGCGGAAACGCCGGCGTCACCGCCCTCACATACTTTACTCACAAAGCCTCGTTTCAGATGCGCCTCTAGGCTGCTAGAATCTGCTAGACTCTAGACATAAGTTACAAACATAAGACTTATTACAGTGCTTGGGAATCGAGATGTAGACCGGCACCGCCTTGAGGCCGTCTTTCCGAAGCATGCCCACATTGGTCAAGTCCCCAGTGATTTCAGGCTCCTCTCCAGCCTCCGGGAGGTCAAGCAATTCGATTTCAGCACCTGGGGTTTGGGTGTCTTATAGTCACCCTGACGACTCACATCACACCATCCTTGCTGGCAGTGCATATTTGGTGGTGGCTTGATTCCACAACAGGGATGCATCATAGCTCTGGCAATTTGGGGGAGTTCCACAAGTTCTCTGGGTCTTTGAGATGTGTACTCTAATGATCTTTATCTTACATGTAAATACATGTGATATAATTGCAACACAGTGAACTCTTTATGTGCCGTGACTTCTTGCTGACCGTCACAAAAAGGAACAACTAGCCACACAACGGTAGAAAGGGCACAACACCTCCCCGGCGTGAAAAAACCAACAAAAACAGCCTGGCCCGAATGCTATTTCCCTCTGGCCTCAGAGACCACGAACTGGTCGAATGCCCAGAGTGGCATCACGAAAGTGGAGGGTTCCACCTCTTCACCTGGCATCACCTCTGAGGGATCTTCCCCATCTGAGTAGTAGAAGTCGCCAATCACGCCTGCAACACACGCGACCGTGCGTGTCGCGACCGTGACAGACGCTTCTCAGAGAAAGACGGACCGCGAGTTCGAGAAGGGGACGGTGTTTCGGAGGATGGTTTTCTGTTTGCTTTGTTTAATGCGAGACAAATACTAAGCACATCGAAGACCGACATATGCCAGTATCATGAACTCTTGGGTTGATTCAGTGGTGCAAGCAATCAGTGGTCAGGCGAATTTCCCGATGTCTTTCCCGATGTTTCGACTCTGAGTCACAAGCTTGAGCTCTGAAACTGAAAAAGAGCGCCTGCACCTGTGCCCTCCCACAAAAAAACGGCACAGAAGTGATGTTTCTCTCCAGCGGCCATGCTCTCCTAGCAACACGCACTGAAAATAGGCTGAAAGCGAGAGGATGGGCTTGTCAGGGCTGGAGAGCAGCAAAGCAGCAAGCAGCAAGCAGCCGCAGCAAGCCAGCAGCAGACCACGTGTACGTGTCGGGATCTTGTCATTTGGCTGAGAAAACTTATCTTGTGAGGTATCGGTCGGGTATCGTTGAAATCGCCCAGAGATAGAAGCAAAAACGGGTCCGCACTCTGAGCTCTTCCATGCTCTTCCCATGATCAAGGTCAAGCTGCATAGGAACCCCACTGTGCAGGCCAAAACGGCTCCAAGCTCTGACAACTCTCTGATCTTCCCATCTCACTGGCGGCCATGCAAGTCTTAGAGGTATGGGTCGTTTTTCGAGGAAAACACCAAAGGCACAATCATGCACAATCGCTGCATGAAACACCCCACTTAAACCTACTTGACGATAATTTTGACATATTTTGACCCTGACTCACATGAACTACAACACACATTAACCCACACATTCCATGGGACTGGAATTTACGTCTACATTGATCCTTGAAACCACCCCAATGTAGGCAAACATGACAGTCCCATGGAGTGTCCGCGTAAGAGTCTGCAAACACCATTCACGGTTCCATCGTTCGCGTCGCATTGCTGACTCTTGATTAGTAACTCCCTCCCCATTTGGATTGTAAGACCCCTTCCTGTGAAGGGTTTATTCATCAAGAGTCTACATTACTCCCTTCCCCGGCCGGACCCTTCCACCTTGGACGGCTCTGATGAGAACGGCCTTCATCTGCCGTGCGGTGGCCGAGGCAGCCTGTGGCACGGCGAACCAGGTTGTGGTTTCGAGCCCGTTTAGGTTGCCAGAGGAGAGCTTTCACCATGTTCGAAACAGGAGACGGTTGGACACGGTGGCTCCGCTCCGGACTCGACAGATGCTTCGCGGAGTCCATTCGTGGAGCGGCTCTCAGCCGCGAGCCGCCCACCCGTTTGGGGAGGAACATGACTCCAACAATTGAGTTGAACGACGATCAGTTCGGTGCCTTTGGTTGAGCAGATGATTGACAAAGAGGGCGGCTATGTGAGTGCAAACACCTTCAACACATTGCAATAGAAAGCAAAGAACCAGTTGTTCCGATTCAAACGGAGTGGCTTTGAGTCCAGTGAGTGGATCATGGAAGCTTCAATAATCTTCAATAGGCACCCCCTTGGAACTCCTGGAAATGGGCCTTTCCAGGCCTTTCCTTGCAACATGCTCTACATATACATGCATAAACAAGCATAAAGACTTCCAGAGCTGTGTCCGCTGTCTCCGAGCCGCACCAACCGACGTACGACTCCCCAGAACCGTCTCCCGACCTCACAATCTGCGAGTTCAATCCCAAAGTAGAGTTTGCTCTTGGGCACCTCGATCGCCACCAATTTTTAAACGACGCGAAGAGCGGAACAGTCGTCTTCCGATCCAAACAGCAGTGTGTTCCAACGCAGGTAGGAGAAGTAAGGCAGGTAAGTGTGAAATCAAAGACTTGGTTTGGACGAAAAAAACCCACCTCCTTCAAGCGCATCTGCACGCGGATCTCCCACAATCTCTTGCGCCCATGGAGATGCCACGCATAGGGATAGTTCCCAGCCGCCTGGAGAAACTGGACATCTTGTTCACGGAAAATCCGTCAGGCACTGCATTTCACTGCTGAGCAAAGCCCAGTCAGGTCCTGCCTCTCGCCATGGTTCATGTGTAGGCCGGTGCATGGCCAAACACTTGAGCACGCATAGGTCGTTTTCATATGTGCTGGGCTCCAAAGTGTTTGCCCGCTGTACCTTGGCCGAGTTCCATTTCTTCAAAACGGACCGCTGGGACCCCAAAGAACGAAGATGCACTCAGGTACCTACAAGAACAGCATAAAACAGCACGAACTCCGCAACATTGATAGCCCTTCGTTCTTCGCCCGACGCATCTGGCAAAGGTGGCCAGCCAGTGTTCAACAGGAAATTCAGCAAGCCGCTACCTACATGTCTGGTTCCATCACCTTGTCCCATCCAATGTATGGAACTGGCACTGGCACCATGTGGGTGGCAGCCACTCGGCAGTGCCGAGGGTTCCCCCCAGCTACCACTCGCTACCACTCACAGCTGGGGCATCGCCAGCGGCCATTTTGCCCGATGCAGGGCGTCCCCATCCGAACAAGCCATCGTTGACCAGGAGCAGCGAAGTGGCGGGTTCAGTTGAAGCGAGAGCGGCTGAACGGCCGAAAATGAGAGCAGCGGAACTGCCGCTTCTCGGGCCATCTCGGTGTCAGCCAGCCGACCACTCCGGCTTGAAGAAAGGAAGGAAAAGGGATCACTGGCGCATCGAGGGAGCACTTGCGCATCGGATTTGGGATCCCTGGGATCCCTTACTCATCCTTAAAAGTAGGGATCAAAAAGGAGACTAAGGTGAGGATCTCGGAGCCCACAAATCCGCCGACCCCCGTTACCGAGAGCGTGAGCGTGAGCGGAACGGGGACGGCGTGTTCCTGAGAATAGTTCGGTATAGGTATGGCTGGGGCTTGTCCATCAACCAGCACTTTGCGAAAAATTGACAAATTTTTGACATTGGTCATGTTTGAAAAGGAGTGGGGACCGTCAGCTTTTTTTTTTCGCGGTACAGGCGGTGTCCAGGCTGGGGTCCCGGGTTCGACTCCCCCCTGCGCACCAAATTGACCTGGTGTGGAAAACGAGGCAACACCAATCTTGCATAGTGGTCCCGCGCACGCGCGCGCCCCACCCCCAGGCAAAGATAAGGCGCCAGGGAGCTAGACCTGCCAACTTCTAGTAGTTGTATTAGTTTCTGATGCTTCGATGGAGCCTAGACCTGCCGAACGCGCTCTTCCCTCCGCCCGCGGCCGCTCTGGGGTCGGCGGCCGCGGGCGGTAGCCCCTTAAATGCCCACAGATGCACCAGGTCTGAAGACCTCACTCACTGTTCCCCACCACGGTCTGCGCGGTGCTTTTCGTTGGCACGGTCTGCGCGGTGAACGGGGCCCCTGTGGTCATCAGCTGCTTGTCGGTCGCCAGGTTGGGTGCCTTGCCCCACTGACGGTGGCCCAATGGCTGCGTAGCCTTTCTATGCTGGCCTTCTTTGAGGTCGCAGGGCGTTGGGGAATGCAGATTTCAGGGACACCACTTCCGCTTTGACCCCATTACCGGCAACAATGGATGATGATGATGATGATGATGATGATGATGATGATGATGATTTGTAAAGGCCTTTTCCATAATACATAACGATCATATATGATTATATGATATGCGATCATCCATTACGGACAGTTGCTGGAATCCACATACCCTAGCTACAACACTTACAACTGAAACAGCTCCAAGTTTACCAAAACTTGGTCCTTTTACCTCATGAGTGGAGCTTTATATGACCGGCTGCAGAACATTGAGGTCTTGGACCTGTAGGGTACTGTAGTTTAAAGTCAATTCCCACACCATGTCCACAAAATGGCCTTCCTATCCTGTATGGTCGTCACCCGACGTCCGGGTCGTGTCCGGCTCGATGCCATCCGCCTTCTTCGTGTCCGGCACTGCACGAAGGACCGAGCCCGAGGGCTGAGTCGAACAACAAAGGGACATGTTCGTTCGAAGATGTTCGAAGCTTTTACACAGCTTTTCACGAGCTTCAGAGTCGGATCTCGAACGCTGCGTTCGTGAGAAAAAAGTCCTTTGATACATCCACAACAAACCTTGATAAACTAAGACTAAGACCGTAAAAAAGAACCTGTGAAACCCAAGATCTGCAAATTGATAGATACTGTATGTAATGCAACTGACAGCATCAGTGGTTCCATTGAACATAATTGAGATCCGCATCAATCTACTACTTGAGGACTTGCAGTTTAAAATCTTATATATATATACATATATCTTAATAGTCTTATTTATGTACTGCACAAACTGGCACCAACGCTTGCTCGAGTTCAAGAGTTCAAGCTGCGCCGTTGGAGGGGAGGAATGTCCATCGCAATGGATCCTGCATCCGGCGCTTGACAAAGCATGGACGAACAACGAGATTGTGATTTGTGCATATCACTGTGCATATCTGATAGTATATGCCATTGCCAGTAACAGTGGATGATGGTGGTCAGTAAAGGCCTTTCTCAAAAAGAGTGATAATACCTTTTACCGACTGTTACATCTGTTACTGGCCATGAGGCGTGAACATCTTCTGGCACATCTGCAGCCGCAAACTGGACGGTGAAAACCGGGTTTGGAGTGGTTACGGTCGGACCAATCTGGTGGATTTTTCAGCGTTCCTTGTGTTGATGGTATCAATCTTGGCTGCCGACTGACAAAAACGTCTGCTGTCCTGATATCCCTGAGGTTGGACCGCGGTGGTGTGCTGATGCTGAGACTTTGTCTGCACAGGACCTGGCCATCAGCCCGGAATGGACAAGTTCTGCATTCAAAACAGTACCACAGAAGCCCTGGATGGTGCTGGGGGTGCCCACACCATCCAGTCACCACCATCTAGTCAACCATCCAGAACCATCCAGTGACCATCTCGTCAGTTCTTGGTTCGAAGGCAGCTCAGCTGTCAATCCCCTGGTGATCTTGCCCAAATGCAGAACCCGCCCTGAGGGTTCTCAATCTGTGCCGAGTTCGAAAACACGCGCCGGGGCGGGGCCCACCTTTGTGGCCGAACCCTGGGACGAAAGCGTAATAGAAAAGCAGAAGAAGCACCTCACATACATCTCTCACCGAACTCTGGTGAGGATGTGGACAATGAGGATGTGGACACAGATCGATGAACATCAGATCCTCTAACTCTAACCAAGGTGAATGAAGATGATCTCCAATTTCTGGTCCGAAAGATAAGCGAACAGTTGGTCAACAATTCGTGACTCACTCAGTAGACGGCTCTGGGTCAACAATGGCCCACTGTGACCCCAACACGGTAGCATCTTGTGGCACCCCCATATATCCAGTAGATCCACACTTTCTTGTTGGACAACTGATCATCGTCGGTTTCAACAAGTTTTGAAACCTATAAATATATATATATATAGTACTAGTACTGTAATTGTATCTATCATAGTTATATATATTATATAGCTCTTGTTCACCAAACACATTTAGACCACGCTTTTGAACACCATTCCTTATTGTTCTGTACACCACGAACAATGTATGTGTTGTGCCATGTCGTGCCTGATAGAGCCTCCACACTCCAAGAAATCTCTGAAGGGTCCGTACTATACCGTAGTCCAGACCCTCAGGACTGGCATATTTACATTGACCCGTGAATCAACCACCCCATTTCTAAACTCGGGACCCGTGTGTCGACGGGTCGAGACCTAGACTTCTCTGACTTCCAGTTAAGTGGTCACCCGGTTCGCCCCCTGAATGGTATTCGGAAAACGATCTTTCCAAGGGCCCTGCCATCCACTGCCATGATTGTTGGAGGAAGGGTATCTCACACCATCCAAAGAACAATTTCAAACGCAACCTGCGACTCTCAGCCCCAAACCACTGCAGCAAAGGAATGGCTGTAGCCTCCCGCTGAATGAAGCGCAAGAGATGAACGCCCGACTCAAGATGTTTTCATCCAATTTTGTTTTGTTCCTTCGCTCTTGTCAAATCCGTTCTTCAACATTCTGAATCCCGTCTTTCAAGGGTGCTGCTGTTACTCTATTTTTATACACAAGTTACCGAGTTCTGCGCCTAGGGCGAGCCAAGCCAGGATCCTGGGAAACTTCAGATCGAATGAACGAGTGGGCGATTTGGAAGAAGGCAGGGCACATGGACACTTGTTCTGGCATCAAGCCTGGTTGGTGCTCTGACACATCACACGAATCATCGGTCATAAAGGTGAAGTCTGACACGTGCTGTGACATATGGTCCGACTTCGGTATGTGCTCCGACATGTATTCCGGCATTTGTTCTGCCGTCAAAGAAAGTGGTATAATATATATAGTTATATAATCCCTGGTGATAGATAGGTTGCATGCTTTACAGTGCATTTTGTAGAGAAATTGTGTCTATGAAATGGCTTGTAAATGGTCAAAGAATCAAAGCCAAAAATCATCTATGAAATGAAATGGAAATCCAGGTGTTACTATGAAATGGCATTCCCGATGATGAGAGGTCTAGAAATATAGGTTGGATTCCACGCTGGGTCAGAAATATTCTTTCTATGAGAATTCCAGATTCCATACCTAAAGGATCAGGGATACTACATTGCCACTATGAAATGGAAAACCAGGTGCCAGGTACCAGGTTCAGAAAGATTCTGGCAGCATCGCAGCATCGCCACTTTGTCTACTATAAACTGAGAATCTGCACAGTTGAACTCAGCAATTCATCTCTTTTCCAGAGTAGCACTGGTATGAACTGGTGGTCACTCTGTCAATTCAGCGGGCTCCATGGCACGCGCATATCCCTATAAAATGGCATTCCAGATCTCATCTATCTTTAACATCCAGCCCCCCTCTCTATAAAATGACAGTCCAACATCGATCAGTCAGGAGTAGAGTGCAACTCCTCTCTTCTATAAAATGGACATCCCAGGTCTTTCGTCTATCTCGTCTCTTGCTTTCATCAACCTTGCCATGTTTTTTTCCTCTATATATTTCCATGCCATTCCAGGTTGCCAACTCTTTTTGATCCACAGCCCCTGTCTATGAAATGGGTCCAGGAAAGGCATTTCATAGGTAAAGCATCCTCATTTCATAGAGCCACAATCACCCGGGATGTTATATAGATATAATCTATCTTTGTCCTGGCATTCTATCTGGCACAAATTCTGACATTCCATCTGGCATATTCTGGCACTCTTTCTGGCATACTATTTTCTGACATTGTAAGCACGTTCAGGCAAGGCACGCCAAGCCAAAGCACCCAAAGCAAGAACTATGTGTTTCGCTCATGGCAATTGGTGCGAGGATGCTGACTCTGCTACCCATCCAAACACTTCGCTATCTGTATGATTCTGTTCGTATTGATCAAACAAGCGCCATGAAAATGCATGAAGAAGCTGTCGCATCTCGCTCGCACATGGAGCATGCAAAAAGGTCAGCTTGGAGCTGTTGGCCCATTTTTTGTTTGAACATGTTGGAACTGTTTGAACATGTTTGAACATCAATCTTGTCGAATGTTCTGAAGTGTGTTCTGAAGTGCTCATCCTTCATCGACTAGCTTTCTGCTTCTGTCGCTCACTTCCGCTTCCGCTGCCATTGGGCCATGATGGGGCCGCGGCGACCACGGGGTGCCATGCGAGCCCGACCAAGACCCTTCGCATCGCTTCGAAGCAGAAACTGGGAGATGAGGCCATCTACGAATCCTCGATCTTCTTCGCCCGCTTTGGGCTCGGTTCACGGCTCTGCAGAGTTGACGGCTCTGGTTGACGGGTCTGCGGAGTTTGGCGAGTATCGGACGTGGCGGTTTCTGGACAGGGCTTCCGGCGGGCCACTCGGACGTCCTTCTGCACCACCTAGGCTCCCCTGGCGAAGAGGGATATCTTGGGAGACCTGCCCGACTTTTGGTGGCAGTATGGATAGCTTTGGTCGCTTTGGTCCAAAGGGAGACGCTCAACGTCTAAAGTGTTCACTCTCAACATTTTGTGTGCAAGCATCAAAAAAGCGGTCCGAAAATGCCTTACCAGCCAATGTGCTGATCTGTAGAGCAGCGTTTCTATGCTGGCTCAGCATGATCATTAGAATCATTAGGTGGGGGCCTCCAGTTTTTGAATGTTTGACCCAGTGCGCTTGTGTGTGTGTGTTTGTGTGTTTGTATGTGTCAATTGCACAGCAATCCGCCTGAGTCGGACTATGAACTGCTTCTGCTGCTTGCCTAGCGCATCAATGACAGTCAACACTGTGACAGGGCTACGGCACCTAAGCACCCTATCACCTATCCTCAACAGTCCCCCTTTCAAAGATGACCATTACAGTCAAAAACACCAGAGCAAGTATCACATTAGCCATCCGATTGAATGGTCGCCGGTCCGAAGCCCGCATCGCCTTCTGCCCGATTTGCCCAAATCCTCACAGCATTCGTCCGAGGGGACAGTTTCAGGGCCACTGTGGGGCGAGCCCAACGCCCTCGGTTCCCAAACGGAACCGAAACAAGAAATCACGAAGACTATGTTTTCATACGTTTTCTTCAGGTGTAATGAAAGCACTGCGGAGGAAAAAGGGAGAAACAATTGCATCCCAAAAGACCAGGTAACTCAGATCAGCAGCGATGCCCTCAGTGTCCACTGCCAACTCGTTAACCTTCCTTATATTACGGGCTCGGATTTAATTTGGATTTCTTTTGTGTTTCGTTCTTCGTGGCAAGTGCAGTACTTTGTGGGCCTTGAAGTGCAGATTTCGTGGCAGGTGCTGTACTTTGCGGTCGTCGAAGTGCAAATTTCGTGGCAGGCGCAGTACTTTGTGAACTTGGAAGTGCAAATAGAGAGAGAGAGAGAGAAAGAGATAGTGAGAGAGAGAGAGAGATAGGTAGACAAATATATATATATAATATATATATATAAACAAATGGATAGAACAGTGCGGAAAGAAGCTATGTTGAAAGCTGGGTGAGGTTGAAGTGGCCCTCAGCATTCACCATTGTGGAGCTTTGCAGGTCATGTGTCATTAGACATGTTCATTAACACCAAAAATAAACAGCTAACACCTTTGTATTGTATTATGATCATACATATGATTATATTATTATAAGACTTCTTTCCTTGTTTCCCCAAGCCAGAAGCCACGAAAACAACAACAGTTCCTTAAAACAAACAAAACACCGTAACTTAAATGGCCCTCCTTGTATTACTGTTACTCTCCGAGTCATTTACATTGGAAGTGGAGTGAAAACACCTGCTTGGTATTCGGAACTGTATTCGGAAGATGGTCCTCATTACGGGGCCATGCCATCAATGCCATCCACTTTCCAAGATGATTTCAGATGATTAAGGGAGTGCACACACCGCAAGATACACTTCTCAACCTGGGTTGGGATCTTCAATGGCGAACATGAGAATGTTCCACTTAAATCCAGTCCTGCTCTCTAAGCTGAAACATGATGCCCTGCATACGAGCCTGAGACTGGTAAACCACGGCTGGCTGAGCAAATTACGGATGACATGATGAGGGAACACGAAAACAAATTGCAGGGATGAGGCAACGAACTTCAACGAACTGAGGTTCCGGCGTCCCTCTCAAGTTTCTTTTGTTGAGCATCTCTTTCCTGAAGCAACTGGAAGAGTCGGCTATTCTCACGTTGCAACTCCTGGCAGAGACATGCACACTGCAAGTGACCAATGAATTGTGTGGCCCTCTCTCTCATCAAATGATTCTATTCTATGCTTGCTCCCAGTCGTGCCAGCAGAAGTATGGAAGCCGTTTCTGCAACCATTTCCTGCCCACTAGGGATTAGGGCATCTTAGATCATCTTAGAATGGTTCAACATGCATCATGTTGAACGTGTTGTGATTCTATTTCCAACGCCCTTGCATCAACGGCACTTCACAGGTAGCAACGACACACCACACACCCATCACATGGCCTCTACCTGCGCTTCCCAAACAGCAGGCTTGTCCTGCTTCAGCTGATCCTGCCTGGGCATCTTGTTAGAGCAAATACGCACAAACCAAAACGAAACAGGTGCCCCACACTCCCAGTCCACTCTTGCTGGTTGCTCTGTCACGAAGGGCGGGCCGCGGCGTGTCAGACTTCGACGACGACAACACAAACACACCGAAAGGGATCGACCGACGAGGTCCGGTTCGTGGCCCTTTCGTTTGATCTGTCACGATCGACCGACGTGGAAGCCGGGCCCTTCGCCCGGATCGTTGGGACGCACCTCGGACGGTAGGGATGCTTGGCGTGTTCGCTGCCGTTCACCTCGGCACGGACGCCCCAACGGTGTGCAGGTGCAGGGTCGCATGGGTGAGGGGAAGGGGGAAAGCGACCAAACCGGTGCAGTCGGAAGGGCATGGGAGAGTGCCGCTCGGCTCCAGACTGGGCAAGTCATAGCCGCCAAGGTGGCCTCTTCTACCTGGATCTGTGAACCAAGGAGGACGGATATGGAGTCATGGAGGGAAAAAAATGGACATAGTAGAAACCCGGTAGATTCAGATCAGTAAGGAAAGGAAGGGCAAATCTTTTTGGTTCGAAGATGTTCGAAGGGCGACATGGATCAGATCCATCACTCCGATTTCGGAGTCTGCCAACACTCCACCTCCTTCGTGCCTCGGACAGATCCACCGTGTAGAGCGGACGAGGCACCTTTCGGATGTCTCGCTCCGATGCCGCGAGGCGATTGCCCTTGGGCAAACCCTGGACATGTGCCTCTTCCGCGGAATATATACATCTCTTTGGCGTCGAAGCAATACCCACCCGGCCAGGTACCATATACCGGTTCATACTGGTTCATATTGAAATTGGTTCTTCGCAGCGGGGGGTGTCCCGTCTATTGATCCGCCAACCAAGGGCGTTCAAAGGCCGTGTCTGGTGTCTGCAGTGCCTGACTTGTGCTCACCTTTGGAGCAGAGCGTGCTGGGACGGACGTGCATGAACTACAAGAGGAGCCGCAGCTACTCCTGCAAATCTGCAACGAGATGCGGTAAATTCCTAGTGCTCGTGAGCGGAATCTAACAGAGAAAACAGATTGAAAACGATGCAAAGAATGTCAAGTGCACAGATTTTGCAAACCATCTCAAACCTTCTGCTTCCAAAAGACAAATGCCCTGCCTGCTACTACAAGTACCAGCACATGGCACTACGCGAGGGGCCTAAGAAAAAAATCATCACTACCCTTCAGCAAAGCGCAGCACAAAGCAATGCAGATCTTGAGGTCATCACAGCTCCCCATAGTGCTGGCACTTTGACATCTCTAACCGCATGAAGCGATCTAACCTCCGACAAACACACACACAGAGCATGCATGAAACGGCATCATATTGAAGAAACTACAAATGCGTGCGGAATCACAACACGTGGAATCGCTGGCCGCCTGGTGACATGCACTGGCCATGGTGCCTCGCACGGGGAAGAAAACCCACTCGATGCTCAGCCTAGTCCATGTGGATCTTTTGGTGCGATGTCCTAAAAGATCAAGACCCACAGGTGTTTTTTTTTCTCTCTCGCTCTCTCTATAACTAAATATGTACCAGATGGCTTTGGATGGTAGCGTCCACCACACGGCCATGTCGCCACTGCTCACTGTTTTGCTTCCACACCACGACGACGTCCCCGCCACCCGACCCGCACCTTCAGCAGCAATGGTCGTACAGGTCCACCCTGCGCTGTGGCTGTGGATCCCGTTTCCACGAGAATGGGATCCTTGTTTGAGGCAAACCGGCGTGTATGCGGCGGCACTGAGTCATTTGCGATGTTTGATGATTTTGTTGGGGTTCAGGCGGGTTTTGGAGGTCACAACGCTTCACTTGAGAGGGTGCTTTTTGGGTGGGGGGGCTTCGGGTTGGCAAGTTGCTTCACTTTCAGGGAACTTTGGGGCATTTTTTAAGGTTCCAATGAGCTTTGAGTTCTTGGAGTTCTTCTTGTTGCTGCTGGCATTGCGCCAACTGAGTGGAGTGCCGTGGGATTACCTGCGCTCTTTGAGTTGGTTTTCTTGCGACAACTGACTCCACTGCTGGTCATGAGTGTATGCAAATGTGCATAAGGATGTGGTTTGTGCAGGGTCAAGGTCGTGCAGGGTCAAGGCTACAACCAGGGTTGCAACAACCAGTGTCAGGCTCTGTGAAGGGAGAAGACTGCAATCATGCATCATGCTCATGACCACGCTAGCACCAGCGTCACAATGTGCACATTCCCCATATCCGCGAACGGCGGCGTAGCCTTGTTTTAAACACAAAAATGATTGCCAATGACGGTTCACCTGGACTATGCTTTGGATAAGTTTCCCTGAAAACCTAGAAACCAAATCATTAGTGCGAGCGCTTCTTCAAGGAAGCGGC